AAGAGCCTCACACGCACCAGTTCCTGAGTTACAAACCTGAAAGTTACAAAGCTCAGCTTAATGGAACAATTAATTAATTGTTAACAATCTTGCCATTCACACGAGTTTATGCTGAACTCAAAAATACACAAAAAATATTGGTTTTCCTCAACAAATGATGCTTTAACTCCACAAACACACACAAAGAGATCAACTGGGAGAACATAAGCAATTGCTCTTTTGCAGACAGATGCAAACAGCCTTTTCTGAAGCTGTTTCACCCCTTGATCGTTTCTCCAGCAGTAAATTTTGGTGGTACCACCCACCAAGCTCCACAATAAACATTGGTTCCACCACACCACACTCCCCAAGAAGCCCCAGAAACAACAACTGTTCAAGATGCAGAAAAGCAGGATAGGAGGTCTGGCATCTCTCTGAAAAGCACAGGAAACCTTCCTCCATCACTGATGATTCAGTATTTTTGAAAATACAAATCACTACGAAGAACCTGACAAAGCTGATGTGGCCAAACTGGGAGGTCAGGATCTCCCTCCCGCTCTTCACCAGTTTCCTGAGGCCTGAACCCCTCACCCTGTGGGATTTGTCATCTCTGTCACTCTACTGACAACAAATTCCAGTAGTTTCATTAACAAAAGTGAACACTCAGGCTGCTGGATCATTAGCAACACTTCCTTTAGGACTTGCTATACAATTGTGCTTGTAAGAAGCCTGAATGATGATTTTTTTTTTGCTTTATGAAGATCACTACATCACTACAACAGCCATCACTTCAATTCTGAACCTCTTAACAGTCTCTCACATACACAAATCCTGGATTTTACATGTTTCCCACCAAACTGTGGGGCACAAACCTTCTGGAAGAACACAAACAGAGATTTTTGGGAGAGGAACAAACTCACGTCTGTGCATTTCCCGGTAGAGAATGGTCAGTGCTTGCAAGGAATTATCATCTGTGGGTTCAAGTGCTGCTACTTCTTGTGCCAGGGCATAGGCTTCATCCTGCTTGCCAGTCCTCTGCAAGCCAATGGCCTTCAGCACCTGTGGACACAACACAGGCAGCTCTCAGAGACAATCTGCATCTGGAAGCCCTCTCACTCCTGCTGGGAACCACCTCATTCCCTCTGCAGAACTCCAGGTTTTATTAAGCATTTAATTCATGTGGCTGGAGAGGAAAACTCCCAAATGCAACAGCATTAAAGAAGGGATCTGACTTCTTAATAAATGTTGAGGTTGCCCCAAGGCAGCACCACATGGTTTTCTCTACCTGCAGGCTGCAAACGGACCTGTGCTGCCAATTTTCCTTAGTTTTCTTTCACTGACTGGCCAGAGAGAAGTGACAGAAACAAGATTCAGGTCAATGACACTTGCTGCAGTTTGGGAAGCTTTCAAAATGTAGAAGTGGAGTGAACTGCAGAGGGAAACCCCCAGGGAAATGAGAAAAGCAGAAAGAGAGTCACACATTTGGGAAAGGAACAGAACTCCCTTCCCTCAACCGGGGCACAGCAAGGAAGGTGGTGAACAAGCAGAAGAGCAAATGCCTCCAAGATCATGGAATGCTTTGGGCAAGAAGGGACCGTAAAATCATCCAGCTCCACACCCTGCCACAGGCAGGGACATCTCCCATGGACCGAGCTGCTCCAAACTGGCCACAAACAATTCCAGGGATGGGGCATCCACAGCTTCTCTGGGGAACCTGTTCACCTCGTAATGTTTTCCTCAGACATTTCCTCCCAAGGAGATGTTCTGATCCCAACCCCAGGGCTCCACGAGACATTTCTAAAGCCCAGCCCATGTGCCAAGGTCACCTGGAGTGGTGCTGACAATCAGCCCAGGTAGAACCAACACTCCTGTCCTTACCAGGGCGTCTGTACAAGTTTTTGGGCAAACAAGACACAGGTGAGCTGGAGCAGAGATATTCCAGAGGGCTCAGAAATCACTGTGGAAGCTCCCAGAGAAAGGGGCAGTGGAACACCCTGAGACTGGGTGCCCCCCAGTCCCACTCACCTTGGCACAGTGAAGGTCCTTGTGCTTTTTGAGCAGTTTATCTGCTTGCTGGATTGCCATTTTATTATTGCCATTATCGAGATAATCTGCAGAGGAAGAGCACACACAAAATCACACCAGAACACCAAGACCATTCTGGAAAGGCACCTCCAATTTCACCACAGAGCATCTGCTGTCACACCAGCAACACAAACCACATTTTCCCTGTGCAGTTCCTCCTAAGCCAAACATTCAGGAAACTGTCATTTCAGGGATGAGGGATTCATCTCGTTGTACTGGTTTTAGTCATTCAAACAAACAAGCTTTTGTAATTACTCCACACAGATCATTACAGCAACAAAAGAGACCCATAATAGAGAGGATTCTGCAGCAACAGCTCTTTGCTGGCAGTGCAGCTCCAGTGCTTTTGCAGAAAAAGTAGAAATTAATTTGGTGTGTCTTTGGGAGACTTTAAAGGACTTCTAACAGGCAGGAGGTTAGAAACCAAACACACACACACTCCAGCAAAGTGGGAAACACTTGTCCACACCATCCATACCTCGGGCAGAGAAAACCTGTCCCCCTGGAGTACCTTGACCCTGCCACCAGACTGGTTTTGAAGACACAACTGTGAAGCATCAATATTTCCTAGGGGGATATCCCACTATCCAGTGAAACTTCAGCTGCAGAAAACCCATCTCCAGACCCTTTTCTCCCTTTTTAGCTCGGAATCACAGTTTTCAAATTGATCTTTATGTTATCACACGATTACAAACAAGCAGTTGTAGACCAGGACATGATCCCTACGTGTTCCCCTTCCTTCAAAAATTCCTCCCTCCTCACCAAACCCAGCTCTGCTGCCCCTCACGTGCCAGGGGGAGGAAGGGGCTGCTCACACTGCTCTGGCCTATTTCCTCAGTTAACTGCAATTACATCACACACATTTTCCTCATCAAACCTGTCATTCCCATTATGAGCCAGAACTCTTTTACTGAGAGGTGACCCTTGGCAATCCTCAGCACAAACTGTGCACCTATTCTGATTTACAGATTTATATTCAACAGCTTCCACGTTTGCTCCCGTGGCCAGGTGGATATTTAAAGCAGAGTTAATTTGGCTCCTGAGCCCATCCACAGCAAAACTCTCACAAGGCAGCCTTTCCACACTCACCAAAATAAACTTTGTTGCATGAAATCCAGTTTGAGCCACAAGACACTGTCTTTCTTCACTGGGTATTTCAACTTTAAAAAAAAAAACCCTCAGTGTCACCTTTAACATTAAAACTTTGGGGATTTCTCAGTGAAGAGGTTTCAAAGGTGTGGAACAGCACATCAGAGGCTTCCTGCTTTAAGGCTCTGTCACCCAGTTTAGTGACACACAAATTATCCCCCACACTGAGCTGTCTGACTGGGATTAACAGCTGTGCCAAAAACATCTCAGCTTTGGGTGTCCCAAAGTAAATCAAATAACCCCCAAACCTCCTTAAAACCACAGCAGAACGAAGAGATTGTATTTTCCGAACAAAACGGGTTGTTGGAAGTCAGTGCAGCTTCCACAGGAAATGAAGCTAAAGGAAAATAAACTTCAGCCTACGTTAGTTCATAGGTGGGGATGTTCAAAGGCTGGAAATGCAACACCTGAACCTTCAGGTGAAGGGAGAACAAGTCAAGATCAAAGATAACCAGAGCTGTCGAGGAATCCTGGGGAACCACGGCACAAACCCAGGCACACGTTGAAATCCAGAGGCAGATCCTGGACCTCACCCTGCAGCTCCCCAGCTGCTGATGTGGGGAAGTTGTGTGTTTATCACACGCTTCATTTCGGCTTCTGCAGCACCACAGCCTGAGATCAAACCTTGCACTGCAGAGAATCCTTTCCAGAAGGAGCAGAAAGGAATTTTAAAGCTCTCCACAAAATGAACGCGGTGAGATGCTCAGCATCATCTGCTTCGGTATCAGCTCAATTTACCCGGATTTTTCTGTTTATACCATTTCTTACACAGGTTATGACAAAAATAACTGCACATCAATGAAACTGCCAATCACAGCACGGATGGGAAACTAAGGGACAAAACCTCAAAATCGTTACATAAAGACAAACTGCAACGAACTTGAACACTTCTAATGGAACAAAATCATCTTCTTCCCTTTCCCTGGAACCCATCACGGATTCAGCCTGTACTGCACCATCCCTCTGCCCCAGCAAAGGACATCCCAAAGCACCTCCAGCCCCAAACCAGGGCAGCTCTCCGCGTCTCTAGGGAGAGGTTTTTATTCCTGCTGAAAAAGTTAGGGACGTTTTCCTCAATCTTTATCAAATCTTCAGTTTTAAGGACGAAACGATACCGTAGCCCGGGGAAGCGTTTTCCTTTTCTTTCGCCGAATTTGCATAGAGCCAAGCTTTGCCTACAACATCCGAAGCAACCCCAAGAGCACAGGCTACCCTCGGGAATACCGGGGGACACAACAACACCGGACAATTCCTACCGACACCGTCCCCTTCTACTTCTCTCCTGCCTCCCAATTAATTCCCCCAACAGCGTCACCGCTCCGTGCCACAACATCCAACACAACTCCGGGGCATCCGCGGCTGCTCCTTCGGGGATGAATCCACTCCCGGCTCCTCCGCAGTAGCGCACAAAGCTCCGGCCGGGGTCACCTCGGCTGCGAGCGGCGCCGGCCGCGCTTCCCGCCTCAGGCCGAGGGGGCACCCCCGGGGCACGGCGGGACCCCGGCCCGGCCGGGCGGGCGCCGCAGCCCCGCAGCCCCCGCGGGGCCGGGAGCGCGGGAGGGTGTCGGGGGGGCTCGGCGGAGCCGCGGCGGCGGCGGGCCCGGGGCGGGGGCGCGGCGGGTCCGTACCGTAGATGGGCCGCAGGCGGCGGTCGTTGGGGTCCTGCACATGGCCCCGCGCCGCCATGATGAGAGCGCAGAACGCAGCGCGCAGCCGCGGCCGGGGGCGGGCAACGGCGAACGGGCCGGCGGGGCGGGGCCGGCGCGGGCAGCGGGACACGGCGGGCGCCCGCAGCGACACCCGCCACCGACCTCAGCTGACCCGGGACACCGACACCCATCCGGGCCGCCGCACCGGAGATCGCCACCCGGCACCTTCAACCGAGCCTCAGCAGGCCGGGGGAGCCCGCACCGGCACCCCCCCCCACCCATCCCCGCAGGGCCGCGCGTTCTCCGGTGCCTCCCGGCGCTGCTCCCGCCGGGCCCGGAGCTCGGGGCTGTGAGGGAAGCGGGCCCGGCACTGCACGGAGCCATGGCCATCGCCGCCGTGCCCGCGGCCGAGTCCCGGCTCTGCGGCAACTGGTAAGGCCGGGCCGGGGCCGGTGAGGGCCAGGCCGGGGCCAGGGGTCGCTGAGGGCCGGGGTCGCTGAGGGCCGGGGTCGCTGAGGGCTGGACTCGGTGTGTCCGAGCCCACCCCGCCGGTACATCGGGGCACAGCTCCTTGGGATGCTGTGAAATACCGGAGACGACCGGACGGCCTTTCTGTAAGCGTTTGTGCGTCAGATTTCCCTTCTTAGTAGGGGACTAAACAGAAACCGAAATCGGATCAAAAGCCAGGCTCGGTTTTCAGTGAGATCCGCACAAAGTACACGATCCAAGTTTTTCTTCAGCAGTTCCGTGGCTCAGGAGCAGAAATATAAAAATAGGATCGGTAGGCAGTGTTGTTGCGGAAGTTTTTCTCTTTGATTACACCTCTCTGCAGAGCCCCAGCGTTGGTAATCCAGTGGCTGGTAAGGAGTCACAAATTTTCTCTCGAATACAAGCAGCTAAAATTAACTTTTTTTTTTGTAGTTGTTTTTCCCCAAGAGACATCAGAATCCAGACAGTTTCTTGCAACATCAGCCTGCTTTGTTTGGTCTGCGCAGTTCTGTCTCTGCTGTTGGGCTTTGTTGCTTTGCCAGGCTTTTGGCTGGCTGGGATCTGGCAGGGGAGAGAGCTGAACAGCTGTGGGTTTTAGCAAACAAAAGGTTATAAATTAATGTAGGTGTTTTCAAGGTGGATTTCTTGGAAAGGGCATGATCCGTGTAGAAATGATGCTGCCTGTTTGAGGCAGGAGTAAGGACTGAGCTCCCGGTGCCTCAGTTCCTATTGTGTTTGGTTTCAAGACAGAAAATGAGCATCTTAGAAATGAGGTGAGTTGGAGCAATGTTGTTACTGCTGTGGAAGGTGCCCCTGTGAGCTTTAAGGTCCCTTCTCACCCAAACCATTCCATGGTTCCATTAATCTGGAACAGGATCTGTCAGGTATAAAAAATATGGGTTTGACTGCTTTCCAAAGCACTGTTTGTTTGACCTCTCAGAGCCAAGTTATTTTCAGGGGGAAACTTTTATCTTCTCAGACTAATTTATTAACTTGAAACCTGTCAGTAACTTGTTTGTGCTGCAAGATTTGCTTTTCACATAAGGAAATAAATCCACCTGGATATTATCTTAATGCAGTGTGACTTTTGTGTGTTAAATACATTAATATCCACCTGTGCTGGAACCTTGAGGCCTGGCTGGGCCTTTCTCTACTCTCTTTAAACCATGAATTCACTGAAATCTTTCTTAGCATTATTTTTTTTGTTGTGAACAAGTGCTTGGATTTGTTGTCGGTGTCAGTTTCTGCTCGGTAACCTCAGCGACTTTCTCACAGCAAAAAGGATATTCCTGCAGTCAATTTTATCATCCACGAAATCCACTGTAGAAGAAACATTGAAATATGCCCTTACTGCAGCGACTCCATCCCAAAGTCTGAGATGAAGAACCACATTGAGTCTGAGCACGTGCAGGTGAGAGACATCTCTGCTCTGAAACCGCTCATTTCTGTGGTGATTAATCTAACGAGCTCTGTTTGCTGTAGGTCACCTGCAAGTGTAGGATGAAGATGGAAAACAGCCTCCTGAAGGATCACGAGGTTGGTGGATTTTACAGTATTGAACCCTTGGGGGATGCTGTGGTGTTCCACTGATTCCAGAGCCTTTCTGTCAGGCAACACCTGGATTCCAGCCTGGGGCTTGTGCATCCTTTTGTTGAGTGATGCTTCCTGAACTCACAGCCTCTCGGAGAAGGGATTGGAAACTGCCTTAAAGTCCTGGAGCCACTCAGGGCTTCTTATCAAAGGGGTATCTGTGAAAATTGGTGATTTTTTTTTGTCCTTGTCAGTTGTAAAATAGCTATCTAAAATATGATTGACTTGACTTTTTTGCATTCCTTTACTGTTTCATGTTTCTGCTGGAGCCACTATGTGACTTTTAATAACTCAATCTGTCCAAACAGACTTTAAAAATAGCCTGTAAAATAAACTAAAATAGGCCAGAGTGGGATTTTCTGAGTTCTGAATCCAGTTGGCTGCTGTCACAGACAATCTTGTTATAAATGTCATCCCTTCCCTCCCTGTGGGCTCCTTTAGAGACAGCTCTGGAACTGCCACCTCAGCCTGCTGATTGCTGAGGGAAAAAGGATTTTCTTTGGAAATCTGTCCAGTTCTAAACCCTGGGAGCAGCTAATCCTGTCTGTGTGTGCGTGGTGCTTTTGGATTGTAAAGCAAATGGTGATGTTTTATTAGTGCAGGTTGTTTATTAATGCAGCATCTGGAAATATCACATATTTTATCTATTTTTAACCCCTTTTGAAGGACACCTCACCCGTTGTTCAGTGCGGGGTACAGAGCGAGTCCAAGCAGCTCTTGTTGAGCAGTGGATGAGCTGTAAGCCCATTCCCTAAAAACCAGTGTGGATTTCAGCTGTGCTCATGGAATGCAACTGGATTTTGGGTTGTATCTAAAACCCAAATCAGATTTAAAATCACATCCCGAGTGAGGAGCTTCAGCTGCCAACTCCACCACGTTGTTGTTGCCTTCCCACGTTGTCGCTTACTCCAGGTTATTCCTTTGGATGTGGCTGAGGACACAACAGAGAGCTCCAAAGCTGAGAAAGCTCAGCATTCCACACGGGAAGAGTAACCCTGTGTGTTTTCCCAGGCGTCCTCGTGCCCGCTGCGCCCTGTGCTCTGCCAGTTCTGTGACATCCAGCTGGCCTTCAACAAACTCCAGGAGCACGAGCTCTACTGCGGGGCCAGGACCGAGCCCTGCGGGCGCTGCGGCCGCAACGTCCTGGTCAGGGAGCTCAAGGAGCATCCCCGGCTCTGTGGGACAGAGGAGAGGGTGGACAAGGGCAGCGGGACAGCTCCAGGATTCGGGAATGAGGATGGAGGCGTGAGGAGCCGGCAGGGAGCAGGTACTGGGGATGGGCTTGGGAAGAGACAGAGGAGGGGGAAAGGAGATTTAGCGCTGCTCTGGGACTCAGCTCCAGGGACAGAACCCTTAAGGGACAGAACCACACAGACAGAACCCTTAGGGGACACAGCTCCAGGGACAGACCCTTAAAGGACAGAACCCTTAAGGGACAAAACCCCAGGGACAGAACCCTTAAAGGACAAAATCCCAGGGACAGAACCCTTAAGGGACACAGCTCCAGGGACAGATCCCTTAAAGACAGAATCTTAAGGGACAGAACCCCTAAGGATGAGAACCTTAAGGGAACAGCACAAATCAAAATCTTTTTTGAAGAAATCACAAGTGAGAAAAAGTGGACAAAGGAAGAAGAACTGGCTGCTCATTTTGCAGCTGGTCCAGGTGTGAGGTTTTGTGATTCCTTTCTGTGAAAATACAGGATAGTGAATGCTCCAGAGGCTGGGAATGTTTACCCATGGGATGAGGTGTAAGACAGGAGTGCTGAGGTGCCTGGCATAAAAGCCCAGTTGCTTCCTTTTTTTTTTTTTTTTTTTTTTGTCTCAAAGTACCTGGCTTAAAAATGAAACTGGAATTGTTTCCTGCCTGTATTTTGGGCCATGATTTTTCTCCATCCTCCTGGATCTGGTAGAGGTGCTCTTGGCACCTCTGAACTCTAGGAGAGTCCACATATGGAACCCTGGGGCTGAGTCTGATGTCCAGAGGGCCCATTTGATGTTCTCCCAAATTTACAGTATTTCTCTTTCGAAGGGGATGAGCTAGAGAGACCTGAAGTCCTTCATTCCCAGCTTCCTGAAGACTGGGACGGTGACCTGGACTATGTGTTGGCTCTCAGCCTGCAAAGTGAGAATAATCCTCACCATAATACTGCAGCTGATGATCCCAGGGATTTCTGGGAATACGACTACACCAAAGAGCCTGGACAATCTGCCCATGGTGATGGAACAGACCTGTCCAACATCATCTCCTGTGACTCTCCAGAGTCCTTTGGCACATCAAACCACAGCAAAATAGGTATAAACACTGTTGTGGTGGGATTTATCCTTAAATTTGAGGGGAAGGGAAAAGGAAAAATTTGATTTGGAATGTTAAAGATTATGTAGGTTTTTTAAAAGGTCAAAATCAGTTATTTTGAGACCCTAAAGCAAAGCAGCAAGTGAAGAAATAAAAGCTTATTAAAAGTAGTGGGTCTCTGACCTTGGTGTATGGTGGGAGCCCAGGGGGGGAACAAGGTGCTCGTGGAAGTAAAAATGGTGGGAAGGAGGATCTGGGGGAAACCTGGAGTGCAGCTTGTTCTGAGAGGAGAAATGGCACCAAAGGGTTTAATGATGCAGCAGGAGGTGTCTTCATCAGGCTCCACAGAGGATGTAATCCTTAATCCTTCCTTCTCTTGCAGATGAGGAGATGATCATGTTGCCCTGCGAGTTCTGCGAGGAGCTGTGTCCTGCTGAAGATCTGATCCTTCACCAGGTCTGGGACTTCCCTGTGTCTTGGGGTTTGCAGTGAAGATTTTTCTGTGGCTGTCACTGAAAAGGGTGTGGGTGACATTGGGAGAACTCTGGCTCTTTGCCAAGGAAAATGATTTTCAATGCCCACCTGGCTCGTCAGGTGATTTTTCTGTGTTGTTTGTGTAACAGACAGGGTGTAACCCAGCAAGTGCCTTTGCCTCGTTCAGTAAGAGAAGTTCTTCTCCAATTCCATGGGAGTACAGTGGTCTGCGAGCTGGGAGGTCCAACAGCCACAGGAGTGTCCCTTCATCCCAGCCCCAAGCTGTCCAGGCAGAAGGAGACCTCATGATTCCGTGTGAATTCTGTGGCATCCAGCTGGAAGAGGAGATTCTCTTTCATCACCAGGTACTGAACAGGACAGGGTCTGTTGGGCCACATCCCATCGTGTGGCACGTTTCAGGAGTTTAGGGAAATGTCCACACAAAGCCCTGGGATCTGTGTGAAGGGTTGTGCCACGCTGAGGCTCCTCCTGAAAAGTACTGGATTAATTTGAAAGCTCTTGTCATGAAACTAAACAAAAGGGACTGAAGTTGCACAATCAGAATATTTGAGTCATGCAGAAAATGAAGTTGAGCCCTGGGTGAGTCAGCTGAGGGGAGAAAGGAGCACAAGGGTAAAACTGGGTGGGAGGGGAAGCCCGGGGAGTGCTGTGCCCAGGGAAGAGTCCTGTGGGATCTGCTGCTGTTACAGACAAGATGGGAGAATGCTGAGCTCACCCATTCTCGGTGTCACGGTTCATTCACGTTCTTAGTCCAACAAACTGCTGAAGCTGGCATTGGGTTGGCTGTTCTGGGCCTCTCCTGTCCTGGGGGACAGCAAAATCAGTGTTCTGGGAATGAGCTCAGAGCTTATCCCAGAATCCCAGAATGGTTTGGGTTGGAAGGGATGTTGAAGCCCATCCCACCCCGGGCCATGGCCAGGGACACCTTCCAGTAGCCCAGGCTGCTCCAGTCCAACATGACAGGGGGATGTAACTGGATGAGCTTTAGGACTGCTCTCCACCTAAACCATGCTGGGATTCCATGATAACAATTCCCTGCTCGCCTTGATGTCCCCAAGCACTGCTGCTCCAGTGTTTCCCCAGGAATTTTCACCCGAGTGAGCTTCACTTGACCAGCACTGTGTGTTCTGCTGCAGCACCACTGCGACCTGCGCCCTGCCAGCCCCACAGGTGACATTCCAGCTCGGGAGCTGCCGGCTCCTCAGCCCCACGGGGACGGATGGGAATCGCCGGAGCCGGCTCGGCGGCGGATCCGGCACCAAGGTGTGGGCAGAGCACAGCCTGAGCTCCCCCGTGCTTGCACTGAGGCCGTGCTGTTACCCTGCTGCATCTCAAAAATCTTCCATCCTGTGCTCTTGCTCTGGGTTTAGGGAGGGAGGATTAAATCACTGGAACTGTGTCCCTGGGGATGGACAGGGGTTGTTCCTGATGCTGAAGTTGCTGTTAAGCTCCACGTGCTGTCCCTGCAGGCGATGTGGCTCCTTGGCACGCAGAAGGCTTTGGGAAGCTGGGGCTGCGCCCTGCTGCAGGGAGCAGGCTGAGGACGGAGGTGGCCAAGGCCGGGAACGCGGCGTTGTCCCCTCCAGGGAGAGCCGGGGACGCTCCGGCCACGCGGGGGAAGCCCGGGAGGGGGAGTGGCAGCGAGGGGACACCGAAGGACAGAGGTGACTCTGGGACAGCACCCCAGGCAAGACCTGCTCAGCACTTGCAGGCAGAAACCTTCACTTCCAGCTCCTCCAGAGCTCCTCCAGCCCAGCCAAGGTAACGCCTTTGTCTTCTGGTCCATTCCGCTTCTTACGGTGCAAATCTGGGTCCCCTTGGCTTTGCCTGCAGCTGAAAGGGTTTTCAGAGGCTTTTGGATTCACCCAGTTGAATTTGGCTGGTGTTTGTCTGAGTTTTAAACAACAAATTTAGGTTTTTACCTCGAGATAGAACAGACCCACTGGTCACTGGGATAAAACGTAGGATAAGGCCTCATTACCTGTCCATGGGAGTGATCTGCTCTCACCTGGGCCCTGAACAGGAGCTGGTTCTGTCTGGGCCGGGGTCAGAGGAGGCACAAGGAGGCAGAGGCTCCCTGCTGTGTTGCCCTGTGTTTATCCAGCACGGGTGGCTTTGCCTCCTCTGAAGGTGTCCCTGTCCCGCAGCTCCGGCGCCGCGGGAGGAAGGAGCCTGGGGCTGGCAGGCGGGAGCAGCGGCCTCCGGCGCCGGAGCTCCAAGGTGAGGCTGCAGGGGCAGCTCCTGTGCTGCTTTTGCCAGGACAAGGAGCTGCTTTTCACAGCCCTCCCTTATGAACTCGTATTGGAAAACAGCATTTTTCTTTTCCTCCTCCCCTAAGGCAAAAGCGCAGGGCCCAGCAGCCGGACACCCGGAGGAGTGAGCCCGAGGAAAACGTGGAGCGCCCGGCCCTGTTCCCAGGCTCTGCCGGACTCGTCGGTCCAAGCGCAAGCAAATTCTGACATTGAGCTTCAGTTTTTAGGCAGTGACCATTTTCTAAATCTCTCTTTTTAATCTGTGAGAGCAAAGTTCAGGTTTTTATGTTTCTGATGGCCTCAAGCACCACCCCCAAGGCATCAAATTGAGTCTCACCTTGGGCCCCACCTGAGTTCTGTGTCCGTGTGGGCTCCTTGTGCTGCTCTGCGATGGGATTTGTGCCACCCCGAGCTCTGGGTGTGTCCTGGCCTGGAATGTTCTGGCACAGCCGGTGCTCCAGACCTGTCCCTCACACAGCAGGGTGAGGGTTGGGGCTCCAAGGCTCCTCAGTGCTGCATTTTCAAGTTAAAAGCTTTTCAAGTTCCTTGGAATAAAATTTCTCTGATGCTGTCCCAAACGGTTGTGCGGTGGCCTCTGTCCCCTGGGGTGACACGGGACCACAGCCCCTGGCTCCCCCTTGGGAGGATCCATTCCCTGCCGTTACTCCCTGCCCTGGCTTCTGTTGGAATCCCTGGGATTTTGGGAAGTGGAGCAGGTCCTGGGTAGCCCTGTGAGCATCAGCCTCATTAAGGAGGTGCAGCAGATGGCACTGGCAGGGATAATTGGCCACTCTGGGGCAGGGTCGTTACCCAGGCCTTGTCTCAGGTACCAGCTCCATCCCACTGGAACAGGCAGAGCCCAACCGTGGCTTCAGGGAACTTCCTCCTAAAATAGACATTTTACAGACGCTCCCACCAAATGTGTTTATTTAGACAAAAGAAGAAGTAAGATATTTAAAAACAGGGGGACACCAAACCTCTGTTCTTCCCATTCCTGGGGCGAAGGGCTGTGGGAAGCTCAGGGAATGGGAGCTGGTCCCTGAGGTTTGGGATGGATAATGGGGTGCCATGGGTCACAAATCATTAAATATGACAAATAATTAATGACTGAGGTGGCAGAGCCTGTGCTGTGCCTCAGGCACAAGGAAAATCCCAGAGGAACAAACTCAGCTTCCCTTTGGTACAAAATCCTTACGTTTTGTTCCAAGTACACAAAAACAACGCAGAAAAATGGGATTTCGAGAGAGAAGCTGCAGCTCCCTTTCTCCCCCTTCTCCTCCCCTGGCTCAGGCAGCTCCAGCAGCAGATCCCATTCCCTGCAGCCCCAAAGAAGGACACGAACACCTCCAGGGATGTTAAGAATCTCCTTTATGCAGGTGTACACTCGATGGCCAAGAGCACTTACAGGTTAATGCCGTGTATGGAACCGAGATGGACACACACCAAGCTAGAACTAATACCCAGCTCCAGAGCTTTTCCATTGTTTAGTATAATTTTACATTCTGAATGAATATATATTAAAAAAAATAATAATCATCACAAACCAATCTTTGCTTCGACAAACAAGCCTAGTACAGACAATGTCAAGTTCATTTAAAGCACGAGGAATTAAGGATGATTAGAAAAGCTTTAATTAAAAGGCCATTTGAGCCACAGCTGAGGTGCTGCAGCACTTCCTTCCCAGGAGCATGGAATTAAAATAAAAAAAAAACCAAAAAACCCCAAAAAACTCCCACAATTCCTCTTGTGGGGGCTCATCCTGTTCTCCAGAACAAACCAAAGTCGATGGAAGTTGGTTATCGGTGCGACATTTGTCCTGTAGAAGAAGCTTCATTTACACCTCCAGGTGCAAACGGCAGCGACGAGAAGTTCGTTATTTGTAATCATAAATAATTAACTGTAATAAATACGGATCAAGTAACGTTCCAGCACGCGCCCGGGGCCGGGTGCAGGTGCGCTCCACTCGGATGCGCTTCCCAAAGGAGCGCACGCACAGTAGCAGCAGTTTCTTACTCACAGCTGGAACTGGAGCCTTGGGAACCGCTGGCACACGGAGCCCTCCGGGATGGCCCCTCGGAGTTTTGGGGCTGGAGCCCAGAGAGAGCCCAGAGAGAGCCCAGAGAGAGCCCAGGCCGGGGCCACAGCTCTGCCGTGGAATCCAGCCGGCGTTGCCCACGTTTCCGGTCTGGGATCGCGCGTCCCGACGGGAACAAACCGGCTCCGAGCCGCCCCTTCGGCTTCGTTTTCCCTCGGTCTTTGTAAACTCCAGGTTCCCGCTTGCTCCGAGTGGTTTCTGGGCTACATAAACGCTTCTACCAGGAAATGGACGAGATTGGAGAGTAAATATTCTTCCTACATGGATCTGTTCCCTGGACAGGGCAATATGCACGGGGAGGGTAACAGCTTCCTAACCACGGGGTTGGGAGACTCCGGATGCCGACGACTACCTACGACTGCTGCACACACATTCCCATTCCCACTCGCTCATCCAGGAACAAGGACACCCATCCCAAACTCACACCGCCTCTCCCGCATCGCACGCACTCAGCGTTCCCACTATTCACAATAATGTACAATAAATACATCTGGGATTCCCGGGAGCTGCTCCACGGGACACCGAGCTGAAGGTTCGGTCACCTCCCAGGCAGCACCGACCGATTCCGGGATGGTCTCTTCCTCAGAATTCAGGATCCAAGGGATCAGCAAAGCTGGAATGTCCCAGAAATCCTGGTGAGGGATGAGACACCTGTGGAGGGGCCGCTCTGAACCACCCAGAACATTCCACAGAACACCAGGGAAATGTGGAGCTGTTCCTGCTCCGCAGTCGGCTCCCAGCTTTCCACACAAAACAGGAACTTTATCTTCCAATGGGTGACTTCTTCCTCCTGCCAGGTGTCAGAGGTTTTTAGGATAATTTGCTCTTGGATCAAAGATTTTTGAGTACAAAAAATGAGTTCCAGGTGTTTGAGCACCCCCTGGTTGTTCTGAGAGCTCATTGGGAAATGGGATAAAGTCCCGGATTTTCGGGATGGACTGTGGTATCTTACACCCTTCGGAGAGAAGCTGTTTTGTTCTGCTCGTGTTTTAATTACAATAAATTATTTTGTTGCTAAGCAAAGCAGACATTCAAGAACATCTAGGGCAGGAACCCAATGGACTCACGGCCCTTTCACTGTTCTTTTGGAAATTTTCCCAAAAGTGTTGAGCTGAACCCTCCAGTTCCCTGTGGCAGCCCCCGTGTGCTTGGTCAGAGTTTAAAAAAATTTCAAGGAAAGTGGTGGAAAGGTGGAAAAGCAGTTTGGCAGCAAAATTCCTGCTTCAAACCTCAAGCAAGTGCCACAAATCCCGCCTGTGCTCTGCTCCTGCCCACGCAGTGATTCCCTCCCCACACCCAAAATTGGCATTTTTGTACTCAAAAACCTGTCAGGGGAGAGCGACCCACGAGCCTTCCCCCACCAAGGGCTCCCGGCCTCGGAATGCCCTCCCTGCCAGCGGTGTTTGCACGGGGCAGACCGTTGTGGATTACAAAATTAGAAATGTACAGGTGGAAAGGTTTTTTTTTTTCCCCAAATTAAATTATACACAAACCGGTCTTTACTAAACTATCCTACAAATATTCCACAAACAAGGCAGCAAAAAGAACCAGTCCACCACAAAGTCTACGAATACAAAATGGAAGTCGTCTTCCGGGAATTACTGTAACAGGAAGGGAAATAAATTATCCCCCAGCTCATCCCACGGGAGGCGCTGGATGGGAACTGAAGGGGTTCCACTGGGCAGAGTCACGGAGTCACCTCCAGGCGTTCCCTGCTCCTGCTCAGCCGCTGAGCGGATCCTCCCGGTAGTGGATGGCGTAACGGAGCTTTTCCAGCATGATGTCCAGCGAGGAATACTGCGGGAGCTTGATCATGAACATGCACGTCTCCACTCGGATGTACCGGGAATCCGGGGAACCTGCGCGACAGCCAGGGGTTAAAACTCAACCCAACGCTTCCCTTCCTGAGGGGACCCAAAATCCAATCCCTGCCTCTTGGGGGTCTTTTCAGTCGGAAATATTGGCATTGTGACACTATTTTTCCAATAGTTTAATGATTTTAAAAGCATTTTAGACAAGTAGCGAAAGTCTCTCTGCATCTGTGTAGGGCTAAGTTTCAGTTGTGGAATCCCACAACAGTTTGGGTTGGAAGGGATCCTACAGCTCCTCCAGTTCCACTCTCCCACCATGGGCAGGGAGCCTTCCACTGGATGCAGTTCAAGTTTTACGTGAAATTTCATTTTGACATCATTTAAACCCCAATTCTCTCCTTATTTCCCCTCATAACCCCCTGCCCCTCTTTGTCAGTGTTCACTAAATCCCAGTGAGAGGGGGGCTGAGGCTGGGACAGAGCTGGGAGCAGAACCAGCTCCTTTCCCTCAGGAAGCGGCCGTTCCGTACCTGCGGCGCCGTCGGGGGGAGCGATTTTCATGGGATAGGGGGGGACGTGGGCGGTGTCGGGGCCGCCGTCCTTGCAGGGGCAGGTGAAGGGGATCCTCTCCTGGTTACAGGCAAACTTGATGAACTTGCAGAGCTCCTCCTGCGTGAACATCTCCAGGGCGCTCCAGAAGAACTCGATGTGCTGGTCGGTCTCCATCAGTCCCACCTGGTACATGGTGTGTGCCTGAGGGGACAGGGACACGTGTCCACTGCTGCTCTGCCCCCTCCCCTCAGCAATCTTCCCCACTACACTTCAAAATAAAGGAAGTTCAAACTCTTACTTCCCTCTGCACAAGCCCCACCCTGTTATTTCCTGAATCCAGTGAAATCTTAATAAACTTCCTTGGGGGCAAAGGCAGTGTCCAAGCAGTGTCCCAAGGATGTCCTGGCTGTACCAGAAGCAGAAGATTCTCCCCTCTCCCACCTTCCTATGGGAGGATCCCCCTCTCTGTGTCCCACAGGAGCGTGGCCAAAGCACCTTGAGGAATTCCAGGTTGATGTAGGGAAGGCCACAGGTCCTCAGCTCCATCTCCAGGGGGGTGAGTGTGGTCAGGAGCTGCAGGGGGATGATGGAGCCCAGCCCTGCCCTCACTGCTGTCATGCACTCCGGGGTCTGCAGCTCCCGCATCCGCAGGCTCCGGATGGCGGCCGCGTACACGTCCTTGTTCTCCCACCTGCAGGGCCAGAGATCTGGGATGAGGGAGGAACACCTGGGAGAGCCCTCGTGCCCCACCCCGTGTTTCACATGGAGAGATCCTCATCTGGAATAATCCAGAGTTAGCAATACACACTCTGCATTCCGATGCTTCCCAGTTAATTCTGCTGTCCTCTGCTTTCGCCTCCCACCTGCCCATCCCTCACAACTGGGACCAGCTGCTCCTCTATCTCTTACAGAGCCAAACAGCCCCAGTGATCCCAAGTTCTGCCAACTTCTCACCAAGCAAAGCTTTCCCAGATCATTCCAACTTGCTACAAAAGCACCTCTGGAGAGGCCGTGCTTGGAGAACGATTCCAGAGATATTCTGTGCCACACCCTGCCTGGAAGGCTGCTCCTTACCCCACAGGGATGTGCCTGCCCCTGGGACACAGCTCCACCTCCTCCCCAGTGAGGCTCAGGTAGGTGAATTTGCAGCAGGGTTTGTTGGGGCAGTCGGGGCTCTCTGTTGCCAGGTGCTGGGAGGCGATTTCGGCACACAGAGCTTCCAGCTCCGTCTCGTCACTGATCTGTCGTGGAACAAGGACAAGGACCTGGTCACCAGCGTGGCACTGCCTCCTCACAGGTGTCCCCACAACAACAGGGACTCACTCCAACACAAAAAATCCTGC